AAGTGGTAAAGAATTTATTCACCCCCTTAAATCAGATTTATTGAATTTCAGGTGAACAGGTTAAAAAAATTAAAATTAAATGAAAAATATAACCTTTGAATATTTAATTTGTTAAATATTGTTATTTATATCTAAATTTTTTTATTTTGTAATTAATCTGAATAAAATATAGGCTCATTAGAAGCCCAATGACATACAATGAAGCCTAATCCCATTAAGGATCCAGAGCAAAGCGCCATAGACAACATCGCGCACAATACGTGATGCCCTCATCGCGCAAGACAAGGCGCGATGTCCATATCGCGGATAAAATCGCCCTTAAGGAAGCTAACTTAAGACCCAAGGCAATCCTACCGCGCCTTTATATCAATAAACGGAAAACAGCTCCAGCTTGCCGCGACTCTATGGCTTGACATTAAGAAGATAAGGCTCCTCAGGTTCTAGCACTGACTTGCAGCCCAAGCCTGGCCACTCAGAGGTCATGCCGCCTTACTAAGGCGGCATCATAACCACTATATAAACAGAGTATACGACATCCAGGTATTATCATCCTTTACATTAATAAGATAAAAACTCTTGTCTCTGATACTGACTTAAGTATCGGAGTGTCTTTGCAGGTACCCCTATTCGGATTCATCGTGCCCCAACAAAGGATAGAGGCATAGTAAGATCTAACTTCAACACCAGACCCAAGACCAAGAACAACAATTTGCATCTCAACCGTGTGTGATTAGGCTTGATACATATTGGTCAGCCCATAGTGTATTTGGTCTGATCAGTAATCAACACTGGCACTGCTCAGAAAAATTTATTCTGAAATTAAATAATAAGAGCTGGACAAATCCCTACACATTGAAAATTAATTGATGCTACACATCGACTCAAACTTATTTACGGTCATTGTAACTTGGATAATGTCTTGGTAAAGAGTAAAAAAAATATTAAATAAAAGAATAATGTGTGAATTCTTAAAATATTAAATATTTCAATTTTATTTAATATTTAACACTCTTTATTCCTTTTGGTACTGACGTAAGTTAATTCGAATCAAACCGGATGCACCTCCTTAGGGGAGGCCAAAACTGTTTCATAACTAACTTTCTTCGTTTACCAGACTCTAATATGAAATATTGTCCGAAGAGAACAAAACTCCTTATTACTCGACAAGTTGTGATAGTATTTTGAGTATTTTATTAATGAATTAAAAAATATTAAATAAAAAGAATAATTTTTGAATTCTTAACATATTGAATAATTCATCTTTATTCAACATTTTAGTTTTTTATTTCTTAATTAGTATCGACACCAGCCGAAGATTTTTTCAGCAACCAAGTAGTATTGAGGAATGAGTGCATGACTATTTTATCTATCCATTTTTATTATTAATGTCATATTAACCCATTTGTTTCGAATTTTAATACGGGAGTATGTATTAAATAGTTAGTGACTTATGTATAATAATAATAATAATAATAATAATAATAATCAGTGATATATTCATACCCCATTCTTCTAAAAAAAAGCGATTTACTTTTACCAGCCACGCATCAATCAAAATGCATAATCCACTTGATTTAAGCTAATTGGTCAATTAATAAAAGTGTAACTGCTCAATTCAAAAAGCACCACCCGACTCCAGAAAAGGACGTCGAGCATCCACTCCATTAACATGACTTTCCTTTGGACAGTCGTCTGAATATTGAATCTTCAACTAGCAACTCGCCACACGTAATTAATTTTCCCTGTGCTATGTTTCCAACAACCTAAGCTCATGATTACCGCCGACATGATATGCACCATGAAGTATAAACAAGATACAAAGATAAAATATTTGCATTAAAAGAGCCACATCTGCGTTCGTAATAAGTGAGTGTCTAGTTGTATTTATTTAAAAAAAAAAAAAAATATTTGTTTTCTCAATTCAAACAGTTGCAAAACATGGGCTAATTTACAGTACCTTAGAAGTTAGAAGCCTCCAGGTTAAAAGTTTATTCCTTGGTCCTTGAATAAGCTGAATCATAACAACAATATTGCACGTACTTATTTAATTTTTTTTTTTTTTGTCTTGTATTGATTTAATTTCACTAAAAAGTAAACAACAATCAAAAATTGAACTCACGATCCCCAAAGTCAATTATTTTTTTTTTTTATAAATCACATATATCCTCCAAAGAAAATCCTCTGGCTAGGAACAACAACATTATTATTGTGGGACTAATTTTTCTAAAGGAAATTTTTTACATTCACAAGGATTTGAACTCAATGTTGAGGAATTCAAGTGTGAATAATTGTGTGAAAAAGTCACACATTGTTTAAGAATGGACTAAGTGAGAAACATATAAGTGGAAAGATCCATCTACCTAATGCCTTAAGGTTCTTAGATTTGATTGTGGTGTTCCAAACCCACTTAATTTCATTACTCACTTGGCCCATGTTTAGTGGTCTTCTCTCACCATGAGCTCCCCCTGTACAGCTCAATAATTGATATCAGAGCTAATGGGGAACAGTGACCAAAATGTCACTGTTCACCAACTTTTTTAGTTAAATGCCACGCGAACAGTGTTATTTCCCAATCTGCCACGGGGGCAAGTTCGCTACCCGATGTAGCGAACTCGGTATGCTGACATGTCACGTTTCTAGTGGACATCAAGTTCTTCAAACTTTTTTTTCCAACTTGGTACTTGTTATCCACTAGAAATGTGACACGTCATCAAACCGAGTTCGCTACATCGGGTAGCGAACTCGCCTTCGTGGCAGATTGTGAAATAACACTGTCCGCGTGGCATTTAGGTAAAAAAGTTGGTGAACAGTGACATTTTGGTCGGTGTTCCAGCTAATGGTGGATTCACTTGTAGTGATATGAGTACGGGTGAACCCCATGAATACTCGAAAAGTCCACATTGGTTAAGAATGAACTAAATGAGTATCATATAAGTGGAAGGAAACACCTAATGGCTTCTTAGTCCACATTGATTAACAATGAACTAAGTGAGTATTGGAAGGAAACACCTGGGGTGTGTTTGGTACAAGGGTATCACAAGGATTACTGGTAAACCTTCTTCGGTAATCGTCAATTACCATGTTTGGTAGAAGTATTAAAAATCAATTCCCGGATATCCAAGGTTTACCGGTAAAGCATTTTATAAAGAAAAGTTATTGTTGGGTTACCAAAAATTAGGTGATTTTCATGATTACTGGGGAAGGGAAAGCAGATCAACATATTTTTGAGACAATAATACCCCCAACACACATCAATACCCGTTGAAGAATATGTTTTGAAAAGTTAAGGTTAGTTTTGTAAGATCATCGTATATTACGGTAATATTTTACTAACAACCAAACATATACTCAGTAAAATTATTAAATATTCTTGGTAATATTTACGTCTACCAAACAACTTTTTTATATCATTCTCAGTAAATTGGATTCCTTTCTATATTATTAGAAATCATGATTCCCGGGCACAAATTTTTTTTTCTTGTACCAAGCACACCCCTAATGGCTTAAGATTTGGGATTTGATTGTGATGTTCCAAACTCATTTAATGTCGTTGTGAAGTGGAAGAAGCACCTAAAGACTTTAATATTATGTAAACATTGAACCAAACAGTTAAAGCTAATATTTTTCATCGAGAAGAAAAGCCCATCCAACTATCAAATTCAAGGGATGCTTGTACAACATTTTTGCCAAAATGGTTGTTACAGCCACAATAATCCTCATTTAAACGAGTCACTGGCCCATTTAAACGAGTATGCAAACCATAAAACTGATTTTCGTGACCAAAGTGATGCTACTATTTTCCAATTCTACTCGATAAGTGCGGAAGCATTGTCCTGTTAAAAGTTCCAAATTCGTGTGACAAACGATAAAGAAGAAGGGAAAGTTATCTCGAGATGTTTCACTGCTTTTATATTCTCTCTGCTTAGAGATCTCCTTATGGCAGACCAAAGATTTGCTTTACTCGATAACCACGACTTACACACCCCATGAACCCCGGCATTTCGTACATATTTTGTCACTTCACCACTATAGTCTACTTTTATTTTCATATAATATTTTCAAAATTTCATCCCAACTATGTGTGTCCTATTTTATTTATGGGCTAATCCATAAAAATTGCACATTCTCTCCATAATAAAATAACAATTGGTTCTAATTCAACGTTACGCACAATCAACCGAACCATTTACATTTAACATCATGTTTAATTTCTGTGTTTTTGGTAAGCTCGCTCCTCATTATTCCTGAGTCACACGCGCATCAACCATCATTTAAGCCTTGTATAGTCCTGCCAAAAGAAGAGTTAAAAAAAAAAGACGAAACATCCATTGGTACAGTGGGTTAGTTAATTATCAGATAATCAGGGAAACTCATGCAGGTCGCATGTGCCTTTTGATTTGTAATTGACAACGTCGATATACAAGGACAAATAACAGTTTGCTTGCATTATTAGGTCGGAGGAAAAAGATTGGCATTCACATAAACTGATAAACATATGGTAGTAATCCAGGAAGCTAAAGCGCAACAGGAACGGGACTTTATACAGAAAGAGAAATTTTGGATCTTCAGTCATCCACATGATCGATATGGAACCATTCCATCAACTTTATCAACAAAGACATAACTTCCTTTATGCGTGTCTTTACTATGAGTTGCTTTAATAAATTCTCACTAATTTGAAATTTTACTTTCCTTTTAGACTTTAGTATAAACTAACAAATAAGAGTCTGCTTTGCACGAGATAGTAAGTAGAAAAGGCAGAGGATTGTGACATTGAAAAGCTCAGAAAAGCTTTCACCTGATAAAACGGTATAATAAAATTATATATATATGTAAAGATTTGAAACAACCTAAACCAACCCAGAAATTCTCTATGCAATTGTCTATGACACAAGAAAATAAATAAAATGCTATGGTTGTTGCTAATCGACCGTTTACATCGACGGTCCAATGTTTGCACAAAGAACCAAATCAAAAAACCCCGCTATAAACCTACTATACTGACACGTAAAAGACATCAAACAGATGAAGCTGGTAACAAGATAAATTAATTTCTCGGAACTATATTCCATCCATCTCTGGATTTTCAGGGTGCAACAGCTCAATAAGATCACGGAGGAGACCCATAACCTGGAAGATTAGGCCACTGATTTTGGACCAAAGAAGAAGAACCAGAACTAGGCATCCTCTCAGAGTTACCACTAATGGAAGTGGTGCTGCTGACAGCAGTGCTCCACAAAGAGGAACCAGAGGGTCTATCACTAGCATTATTGATGAAGCTACGAGGCCAATCATGTTGAGATTGAGAAGCAGCACTAGTATTAGCCATGCTAGATGGAATTAAACCTTGTTGTGCTGTATACAGAGACTCTATCTCCCTTTCTCTGTTACCCATCTGATAGAATTGCGATGGATCACGAATTTGAAGTTGGGAGCCAAGAGAAGCAGCATTGAAAGCAGAAAGAAGACCCAAATTAGAAGAACGAACATCACCCCCAACATTCAGAGACGGATCAAAAGGATGTGATTGGTTCATTGAATGAATCGCTGCCAGAGAAGACAAGTAACCAACACCACCAACACCAACACCAACACCACCTCCTTGATAAAAGGGAACGACGGTGGATGGAACCGTCGCGGGAAGGGAAGCCATGGTTGAAGAAAGGTCGTTAGCCCTCGCCAACGTTGTCAAGTTTGGCTGGGCTTGGACCACCTCTTGCGGCGGTGGTGGTAGTGGTGGTTGTGGATGCGACGGGGAAGAAGAATTCTCAGAGGAAGATGAAGAAGTTTTGGCGCGCTTACCCTTACGGCAACCACCACCAACGGGTACGTTCCTCAAGGTTCCACCTTGTGTCCAGTACCTTCTGCATGTTTTGCAGTAGTAACGAGGCTGTGACAAGCTATAGTTATTGTAATAGCAGAACTTGGTGTTGAGAGAATCACAGCGAGGACACTTCTGTGGTTGCTGAGGCTGAGGCTGAGGCTGAGGCTGAACCTGAGGTGGTTTATTGATGTCACCTCCTTCTCCACCTCCTTCTTGTTCCATGTTGCTTTTACTCTGCAACTTAATTTTCTGACTTTTGAGTATTGTGTATTTTTGTGGGTGGGGTTGCTTTGTATTTATATTAAGAAGCTAGATAGTGGTTGGTGCTTGATGATTTGACTTGGAGGAGGAGCATGCAGCTCGTAAGGGTAAAAAGCGTGTGGGGTTTTCAGATTTGAGCCTCTACGTGTCTGCAAAATTATAATCTCAGAATCTACAATGACCAAAACCACGGCGATCTTACCTTATGCATGACTTCCACCTACCCACGATTTAACAAAAAAACAAAAAAAAAGGAACAACCACTGTAACTCAAATTTTATCAAAAAATTTATGATGATATCTGCAGCTATATGTTGTAAATAGTATTAAATTCAATAGGATTCCATTAAAGCTCAGTAGATTCTCATAATCTTGCTCCGCAATTAATTTCAATGGATTGAAGTACTCAGCATATGGAAGGTTAAAACTTGATGTCTAAATTTGGGTGATTCTTGATTTTGATGTGCAACGTGGACAGAGTCCCAGAGAGACATATCAGAGGCGATGATGGTATTATGGTAAAAAAAGAAAAAAAAAGAAATGGGGCTGAAGAAGTAAAAATCCACTGACAAAGCGCTGTGATTTGTTGAGCTTTGATTGAAGGTAGCCTATAAGGAAAGTAAGGAGGAACAAACACCACCTGAAACTTGTTTACCCGGTTTCCATGTCAGTTTCAGTTCTGATCACCCAGAAAAAGTGACACAAACAATACAAGAGAAAAAACAAAAGTACTGAAGAAGAAAAGTAAAGAGGTGAAGATTGTAGAGTATAGGAAGAGCCTGGGGCGGCTGAGGAGGTAATCCAAGAGGTTTGGGTGGCAGTGGTGAATGAAATGGTGGCTATGTCAGAGCTGCTAAATTGTTTTCTCTGCTTTCTCTATTTTCTTTCTATCCTTTCATGCTACTGGATTGTTACAGTTTTTTAGTCTTCCATTAATTTTTAATTAATATAAGAAGAATTTTGTTCTTCTACTTTTGTGACAGTTTTTTAGTCTTCCATTAATTTTTAATTAATATAAGAAGAATTTTGTTCTTCTAATTTTGTGACATAAATAATGTTGAAAAATGTTATATCAGACAACTTATATTTTTTCACTCTCATAAAGAGGTGAGATTCATATCTTTTTTTTTTGTCAACTCTCTCTTCTCCTTTATCTATTTCTTTTTTTTTTTTTTAAAATGACACAACTCTACATTCTTTAAAATAACACACACTTTTTCCTAAATAATATTATTATTTTATAGACATAAAAATATGAGACTCATTTTGTATTTATTTTTTATCTTTATTTTTATTTTGCGAGAATTATATCTATTTTTATTTTTTTTAACGAAATTCATACCTCTCTTACTAGAAAATGACACATATTTTTTTAATTATTAAAATAGTAATATAAAATTATGATTCCCATAGTTATAACTATAACGCTTTATTGCTTGATTTATCTATGTGACGTCATTTCGTCCTTCTTGAGCAATCGTTCCACGGTCATATTGACTATTTCCCAGGAACATCATGTTCCTGTATCACATCTTGGTCCCATTTGCCATCCGCGTGTTAAGTGAGAAGTTTCTCCAATTACATTAACAAGTTGTTAAAATTGAAATAATGAGAAAATTACGTTTTTTTTAATGAATAATTTGGTATTTTATTTTAGTTTAAATTTAAATACAAAAAGACTTATATTTTCTTATGTCACGTAAAAAATATTTTTTCCTTTACACGAACAATTCCAACTCAACTTTTTTCTTCTTCATTTTTAATTGTAAGTGGATCTCACGTTAAAAATGGTATCTATGGTTGGAGAAAATTTTTATTATATGCCATAAGAAAAAATAAGCCCATATAACAATGTTGTTTGTTTAAAATTTTAATAAAAAAATTATCCTCCTTTTCTTATACACTCTTTTGTTTTTTTATTTAAGTGGAAATAATATAACTATTTGATAAATGAAAATAACTATTTTTTAATTAAAATAATATAACATTTGATATTTCAAGACGATGCGAAAAAATTTCTATCAATAAATTATAACAGTAAGTATGATGTAATATTTTAATTCAAAACTTTAAGTTAATAAATTTATAAGTCTTTTTTATTTATACAATTCTGACTTCATTTATATTTTATTCTATAAGTTTTATCATTCACATGTGAATTTTTAATAAATGTTTTAAATAATTTATATCTTTATGAATTTCACTTAATAAATAACTTTATAGAAAAATATTTATGCAGTTAATGCAGATAAATTATTTACATTTACTCCCAAAATAATGTTGTTTTAGTGTTAAAATATCAAAAAATTATTATAATCCTGAATTAAATTAAAATACCTTGATTTCTGGTCAAAAATAACGTTATTTTGAACTTAATGTAGATAACTTATCTGCATTTACTGCAGAAAAAATAAACTCATATTTTTAAATATCTTCAATTTAAAATCTTTATAACTTTAAAAATTAAAATTTTCGAAATAAATAAATAAAAAACTTTAAAATATCTCTTGAAAGTGATTGAGAAATATGAATATTTTGTTAGTTAACAAGCTTTTACCCCCATTAATTTGGTAAGGCAGAAATTAGTTCATGTTTTTAAAGATGCTTTACTTTTAACATGTTTTTAAATTAGTTAATATTTTAATATGTTTTATTTTTAGGGAAAAAATATATTTATTACTAAAAAAGTTTATTACATTTACTACTAACCTAATCACCGTTGATTTCTGTCAATCTAACGGTTATAATTTAATAGAAATTATTGAGTCGCATTTATTAATTAATTATTGATTCTCAATAAATCCAATAAATTATAACTGTTAGATTGACAAAAATCAACGATGATTAAGTTTGTTGTAAACATGTTAAACTTTTTTAATGGTAAGTATATCTTACCTTTTACTTTTAAGCCAAATATATGTGAAATTCAGATTTTTATGCTAGTTCCATTGGGAAAATTGTCTTACACAGGTAAAGTATGTTGGTTGTGGCTCATACTTCGCATGCTGATAAGGATTCTTGTTGTTAGGGTCGGCAGAAAGGCAATTGGAGTCTCACTCCCAGGTGAGCGAACGGGGTCCGAGAGGCAGCGTCCCCAGCCCCATAGAAGCTACATACTGCTATTGGCCTATGATTTTATTGTAAATTTTTTTTTCTTAGTAGTTTGAGTTTGGGCTATTAATAGCTGCGATTAGTGTTTTTTCTAATCTGTTTATATTCTCCTTATAAATTGAATAACGTTTAACGATTGACGGTGAGATTAATGTAATATAAACAAGGTAATGGTAGTCTAAATTGAGTGAATTAAAATAAATTACTGTATCTATTTTATTTATTTTTTTCTCTTTTTGATTTGCAATTTATATGATTGTCGATTTGGAAGAAAATAATTTGAAGAAACGATGCCCAGATCTCAGTTGTTAGTTGTCACTTGTTACCTTAGAAAATCAATTTTTTATCCTTTCACTTTTGTTGTTGAGTTCTGACAAATCTGGTCTGAATTAAAACTGAAGTGAAGCATATGCAGATTGCATTGATTATGCCACATAACATTGATAAAGCAGACGAGGGCACGTGCCCAGAGTCACGTGATGATGCAATGAATGGAGATGGTGGTGACGTTTGATGATAGAGGGGTTACAACTGCTCCTACACCATATCACTTCAATTCTGTTCTGTTCGAATGTGGAGAATGGGAAGAAATGGGTCACAGAGAGAAAGAGACATATAAATAAAACAATTAATCATTTGTACTTAAAAAATTTAAACTTTTTTTTTAATTCATTCTTCTCTAACTAATCTGCATACTATGTAATTTTTTAAGATTAGAGAATCCCAGTCTCAAATTTAGCGTGATTTGTGTTCTATAATTTATCAATAAAAATTGAGAATAGATTGTGGTTGAAAAAACAAGTGTGGCTAAAAAAATTTGTGGATTAATCTGATATTTTTGATTTTATACAATTTAATATGGATCAAATTAATTGTTAAGTAGTTATTGGTTACATTAGTCATAAGTCAACAATAAATCTAACGGAGGCGTGAAGGGAAAGCAAAGTTTTGTACTTCAGGTATAGGGCCCTGCGGGCTAAGGCATCAAGGGGCATTTGGTAGATAAGATACTTTTTTTTATCAGATAAATACAATTACTAGTAATATAATAGGAAAGTAAGTTTGGTAAAAAAGTTAAAAAAAAAATATTTGGGTGGTTAAAATTTTATCAAAAAATTAAGTTAAATTTTGTGAATTTTTATTTGGTTGAAGTGGGTAAATATATTGAAATATCGAAAATAACTCTTAATTTAATTTGATATTTTAAAGATGTAGACATGTGTATTTAGAAGAGGGCAATATGGTAACACTTTTTGTTCATCTTTTTGCAGTTTAGCTAGTTTTCTATGAATACCACATTCGAAGTGGTAATAAAGTTCAACAATAATTTGCTTTCCTTTTTGCATGTGCTTGTCAAAGGCCGGAAAAAAGAGAAACATGACTAATTTTTTATAGTGATTTGTATCTATCATGTCACATGACATAAAAAAGTTTTCTACACGCATAATATTTTGTGGGGTCCACATTTTTTGAAGCAAAAAAAAATTAAGGCACGCAAAACGAATCTCTATAACATTACACAATCACTTTTCTCCCAACATAACTCTTATAAAATCCTTTTTTATATTCTTTTTATCAAACAAAGCAATCATGGAATGCCAATTCAAGATAGATGGAGAACGAAACTAAAAATCTGAACCAAACGCCCCATTAATTGACCCAAGAGATCGCCCCGGTCTTCATGAGTCTAAGCGCGAGACACTCAAGAGTGAGACACTTTCGTTGGACCTACGAGGACATGGTCGTTCTTATCTTGTTACTAAAGAGGCCTTCTTTAGTTTTTTTTTTTTAAAAAAAGATATCTTCTTTTGTTGATAGACATTTTTGTTAGATTCTCTTGGACCAAACAAATTTTTCCATAAATTCTTAAGACAAAAACTTCTAGAAAAAACTTTTAAATTGTATTAGCATTTTTCGAAATGAACAACTTTTAAATATACAATTATCAAATAATTTTTAATTTTATTTAAAAAAATGCCAAACATGCCCTAAATTAGTAAAAATTTCATGCATTATATATGTATTATTAAATTTATATAAAAATTTAAAAAAATTAAATAAATATAAGTACAATTAATTGAAATAATATCTATTGTAATTAATAAATGTTTAGCATTATAAAAAGATGCACATTTTAATACGAAAAATCTTAAATTTGAATTAAAAAAAAATTAAGAATAGTATGCGTCAGTTGAAAGAAAGCAAATTAAGAACCTAAGATCCTGTTTGGTGTGACGTATGAGACATGATAGTATAAGTTTATACTATACGTTATGACATTTTCAGTTGTTTGGTGTGACCATCGTATAGTATAAGCTTATACAGCATAATCTCTTAATACATCAAACGATGTATAACTTAATCCGGCCTAAGGGCATGTTTGGTGCGTAGTATAGGATAAGGTCTGATAGTATAAGACCTGATAGTATAAGACTTGATTGTATAAGACCTGATTAAATTTTAATACTATCCAGCGTTTGGTATGATATTGTATAAGATAATATCCTCCAATATTTTAAAAATTAATATATTAAAAAAATTTATTTTAATATATAAATATTGAAATGATATATTAGTTATTGGGAATTGTACTTGTAATCAATATTAATACATCAACCCCTTATCAGGCCTAATCCACCGCTCCTAGGCCGTATTAAGTTATACATCATTTTGATGTATAAAGGGTCTTGCTGTATAAGCTTATACTATACGATGGTCACACCAAACATCTGAAAATGTCATAACGTATAGTATAAGCTTATACTATCAGGCCTTATACACCACACCAAACAGGCCCTGAGGGTGAGGGATAAGGCCTGATAAGAGATTGATGTATTAACATCGATGATCAATGTAATTCTCAAAAATTAATATATTATTTTAATATTACTCTATTAAAATAAAAATTAATTTTTTAATATATTAATTTTTAAAATATTAAATATATTTATTTTTATAAAAATTAATTTATATTTTTGACACACTTAGGGGTATCAATATAGGTTATGACACGTGGGTCGACCCGCGACACGACACGAAAATTCGTGTCGGGTTGACCCGTAAAAAAATTCGTGTCGTGTTCGTGTTAAAAAAATGACACGTAAAAAATTCGTGTCGTGTTCGTATTGAGGTATTCGTGTTCGTGTCGACCCATATTTTTTTAATTATTTCATTTTTATTTTATTTATTATTTTTTAATTTTTTTAAATTTTGAACCTTTTTAATTTTTTTTTTTGTCAATTATCGATCTGACCCCTATTTTGCATGTTATTCGTGTCGAGTCGTGTCAACCCGCAAAAAATCTGTGTCGAGTCAGTGTTGAAGATTTTGACACCAATAAAAATTTGTGTCGTGCTCGTATTGATGTATTCGTGTCGTGTCAGATTCGTGTCGTGTCAACCCGTTTTGATACCCCTAAACACACTGATCAATAAATTTTTATAAAAATTAATATCATATGACATTTTTTGAAGAATTACATAAATTTTTTATTAAAGGATATTTTGATTAAAATATTTATTTTTATCATATATAGTATATACAATGCATTATCAAATACTAGATAATATTATTTATATAATATATTATTTTATACAATACCTTGCCAAACACTGAATAGCATTAAAATTCAATCAGATCTTGTACAATCAAGCCTTATACTATCAGACTTTATCAAATAGTATGTATTAAACATGCCGTAAGTTACTCTAAACAAGTATTCAAATTAGATATAAAAGAAAATCATACGTTTCAACCTACATTAAAAAAAAAAAAAAACATAGATTCGTTGAAGCTTCCCCCGGCATTTTCACTATGATCACTGTGGCTCATTGTCATCAATGCACCGATTGCGTGCACAATATTTTGGAGCATTCCGCTCTTTTTTTTTATAAGAACTTACTGTAAGAACATCACCTTGTCAAGGTAGTCCTAACCTTATTAAAAACCAGTTTCATCTTCAATTTCTGTCTTTAATATTATTAGGCAAAGTATTTCTACTTTGTCGGATCTCGATATTTTTTTTTAAATAAATTTGGTGAGCCACACACAACTTTTCTGCCGCTTATTATTATTATTATTTGGAAGTCTAAAACTGCCCAAAAATGTTACTCAGACCATAAATCTCCAACCCACTACAGTTAGCCTTGTCCCTCTTGATTCTATTTTCCTTGTTCTGATGGATTCATATTGACAATATATATCTGCTGATAGCTTAAGCTCGCCCCTCTTTTGTTTTTTTGTTTTTTGTCTTTGGTCATGTTCTGTGTGGGGTTCTCTTCCACCGCTATGCTCCAAAAATGTATTCACCTCCGCTTGCAGTGGTATGTATGCAACACTATTTTCTATTTTGTCTTAAGAAATTACGGGGTTTATTGTGTCAATGGATTTGATTACTAATTAGTTTATACCTAAAATTGCTTTTCACCTAGAAATAATCTCCAAACACACAATTAATGCATAGAATTTCGAAGTTGATGTATCAGGTTTGAACAATGAGTAACTTGGGAATTGAACGTTATGTGTTCAATTCCCATGTATAAAAAAAAAAAAAATACATTTAGGGGGTGTTTGTTTCAAGTTTTTGAAGAGGATTAAATGTAATTACCACGTTTGGTAGAAGGAATATATTACGATTCCCGAATATCCAAGGATTACCGGTAATTTGATTTATAAAAAAAAGTCACTATTCATATTGCCAAAAATAATATAGTAATTCAGAATACCAATCAGAATACCAAGCAAAAGGAAAAGCACAACAATAAATTTTGAGACAAAAATACCCCAATACACATAAAAATCTAAATCCAATCTACCAATTACAAAAGTAAAAATAGTTTGGAGTTATTTTTGTAAAATAACCCCATATTCCAAGTCATATTTGGTTCTAAACCAAATATGGAATCAGTAATTTTTACCCAATATTTCCGGTAATATTTTGGCGAACCAAACACCTCTTTGGTAAGATTCCAAGTAAACTCAATTTCTACTGAGTTCCCATTAATCATGATTCCCGGTCACCAAAAAATTTCTCTACCAAAGAGACCCTCACGTTGAACAATGGTACTGGAATTGGTAGCCATGCAGCATTAATGAATATCAACTTCTTATTCCAAGATGATAATAGACAAACAAACACGTTAACAAACTATATATATATATGTCAAACTTATACATAGAGCGAAATTCTTAAGCCTTCCTCTAATTAATAGTCCTTCCTCTCACCATAAACCTTCTCAGCTCTTTTCCTCAATTCCACAACATCCTCATCCACCGGAGTCTCCACCACAACATCCTCATCCACCGGAGTCTCCGCCACAACATCATCGCCACTATCATAATCATCATCATCATCATCCTTGCCAACCACCGTCTCCTTGATCTTCTGCGTGGTGTCCTTGGCTGCCTCCCACGCACCTTGCACTGTCTGCTTCGTCTTCTCCCCTGCACTCTTCAACTTCTCCGTCGCCGTCTCCGCAACCTTCTCTGTATTCTCCTTAGCTCCATGTGCACCCTCCTTGGCTTTATCTTTCACATACTCCGCTGTCTCCGCCGCCTTTTCACCACCTTCCTTCGTCTTCTCAGCCACCCACTCCCCCGCACCCTTTGTCTTCTCTTTTGCATCGTGTGCATATTCTTTGGTTCTATCTTTCATTTCCTCTGTTTTCTCTTTAGCCTCGTCTATGCCTTCGCTCACCGTTTCTTTGGCTCTCTCTGCCATTTCAGAATCTCTGTCTTCTTCTGCCTCACGTCTTGCCTCTGTAGAGTCATATCTCGTTCCTTCTGCTGCATTTCTCCACTGAAAAAGAAAAAAAGAAAACCAAAGGAAAGAAAAATAAACATGAAAACCCACTTTTGAGAAAATCAAACGTTGTTTAATTTGTGAATTGTTGGTTGTGAACTTACCCCTGAATAGTTGGAAGCAGAGGCGAAGGTGACCCTGGAGGGTTTGAGGGAGAGTGAAGGGGCGTAAGGGAAAGACTTTGAGAAGCGGAAGACTGCGTTTCTTGTTATGAACATAGCTGCCATTTCTTTCTTTCTTTCTTTCTCCAAGTTTGGTTACTCTGTTCTGTTATGTTTTCTTAGGTGAACTTGATGACGAGTTTAAAGGTGGAATGGTTTGTCTCCGGTTTTCGAGAAGTGCATGTTAGAAAGAAAAGGTGGCTAACAAATGGGTTACCACGTGTACTTTAGCATGCCACGTGTCTCGGCAATTTGCCACGTTCTTCATTAAATTAGTGGATTACTTTCGACCAATTAATCCATCCAATAAGCTTATATTTATCTTTTGTTGGCCACGGGAGCTTCACTGTCTTCGATTGGAATCAAAGCTATTATCCCCTTTTTTTGTGATCAAATAAATTAGGGATCACCGGAAGCAAAATTATTTGATTAAGAAAGGCAAAATTACTCTGTTAACCTACAATTCTGTCAAAATGGGTTTGGTAAACGACTCAATGAGAAATTTTCTTTATTTTAATTATTATATTGAACTATTTTAAGTGAGATTTTTTTTCTATATTTTTAATTATATTTTTTATATGAGATTTGTAATAAATTAATTATATAAAAATACAAAAATATATAAATTCAATACTTTGAAAGGTATTTATATAAAATTAAATAATTTAAATATAATAAAATTGTATTAAAATATTAATTTGCGTAAATATTCCAAATTTGAATTATTGGTCGGAAATATTAAAAAAAAATGTAAGCAATAATTCATTATATTGATGCTACCCATGTTCATACAACTGCGAGAAGGGATATAAGTGTCATACATCTAGAATTTTGAATCTTTCTCTTATTCTGTTAAATAAAATGACAAAAAGCAAACTATCACCTTTTGTCCTTAAGATTTTAAATTTAGATAAATTTATTTTGTAAATTTTTACATTTATTAAATTTAAATAAGTTTATATAATTTAAAAAAATTAATATAGTTTTTAATTTTCTAATTTTTTTATAGTTTAATTAAATTTTCAATTTGATCTTTACAAATTTAATAAATTAATTAAGTTCTTAAAATATGTAACAACAATAAAAAATAGCTTACATAACTACAAAAATCCCTTAACAAGATTTAAACTGCCACATGCTATTAAGACATATTTAAAAATGTTGATAAGTATAAAACTTTACTAAAGTTTTTTAGAATAACGGGAAATTATTTAAAATTTCAGTATTACGTAATATGTTGCATTAAAAAAGTTGAGAGCACTATACAAGGTTCAACAAAATTTTACATACAAAATTAAACCGTTAAAATTTTAACCTGTATTTGTATGCAAATATTTCTTCATTAGAAAAATAAAATTGTAAAAAATCAAATCTTTTGTATAGAGTATTTTATGAAAGTGTTAAGTATTTATTTATTGGGAGAGGTTATACTTACTACTGAAAAGTTTTACAACTCTTACTACTAAATTAATTATCGTTAATTTATGTCAATTTAACAATTATAATTTAACCTTGAACAATTTTGCTTGTTTATTGTTTTAAAAGGGAGCTCAATTACAACATATGTATTTGTTTGAAGCTTTAAGGGGAGCGATGACTAATTGCATAATAAAAAAATCAGAAATAATACTCAAATTTAAAGTCTTGAATTAGTAAAAAATTGGAGGGAGGAGGACTACCCTTACTTGTATTAGTATAAACTTAAAGGGCGAACTCTTCTTACTAGCTCCGCTCACTCAACCTCTTCATCAAATTCCTCGAAAGAGTGAAATTTTATAAAATTACAGCTTTGAATGACCCACGGGTCCGGCCTTGTCAGATTTTGGGCGACTTTTGGCCCATGCCAACTTTAATTATTCTGGGCTTTTTTTGCTCCTAATCCACATAGATTTAGAGCTTGGTGGGGCAAACTAATTTGTTTTGACAGTTCTATATATGACACATGAAACCCAATAAGCCAGACCAAAGTTGGAATAATAATTCCACTTTCAATGATTAACTTTTAGTATATAAAAAAAAAAGAAAAAAATATTTATCATTTTAAAAGATACAATTTTATATTATTATGTGAAACCATTGTGTTTTGATAATTTTTTACCTTGTCTCTTCTCTATACAACTCTTTTCTCTCTTCTTTGTAATACTCTCTTTCTCTCTCCTAATTTTGAGAAAGAAAGATAATAGAAAAAATATCAAATATGCACCAAATCAATATTATTTTACTTGAAATAACACAAAACTATATCTTTTAAAATAAAAAACACTTTTCCCAAAAGAAAAAGGTATTCCATTTTGGGATATAAATCTATCATGGAACAGGAAAATTTTTATTTTTCCTACAGACACAAATAATGTTGGGGTCCACTGATTTTTTATTCTCTCTCTTACTTTCACTTTCTCTCTCTTCTAAATGTGTTACAGGAAAAACTGATTTTTTATTCTCTCTTACTTTCACTTTCTCTCTCTTCTAAATGTGTGTCTACAGGAAAAACTAAAATTTCCTGTGACATAATACATATATATCCCTTTTTTCCATTTTATCCAAAATGAGCCAAAATGTAAGCACAGCCAAGGTTATTTTTTTCCATTTTATCCAAAATGAGCCAAAATGTAAGCACAGCCAAGGTTATATTAGTAGAGGAATTTTGCATAGAAATCCGGGTATCAGAAGAGAATGCAATCTATAACAACTTGTGTATTTTTGTATTAAGTTTTTCTTAATAGAAGATATTAAAATATTAGATTATATATCTTTACAAATAAAAATATGAATAAAGCATCTAAATTTAATAAAGATATACAAAATTTAAAATTTAAGGACTCGTTAGGATGAAATTATTAAGGACTCTGTAGACACATTAAGGACTCAATAGTTAAGATTTATTTAATATTGATAACCTCGCCCAAGACTCGTTCTAACTATAAACTATAATTTAAGGACTAGTTAGGATGAAATTAAAATTAAAGATGTTTATTTTCATGTCTTTCCGAATCTACTAGTCTAAAAACACCGACCACTCACCAAAAGGCCACTAATTCCAACTAAGTAAAAGCTTAAATTCTATTAAACTGTCGAACAAAACATAAAAGAAAAATTAAAAAAAAAAAAACATTTGAATGGAAAATTTGCAGAACACAGGCATCATGAAATAAGACTATCAAAAACTGAGGTGAAGATCAAACTCCATCTGTTTGAATGCAGCCTATGCAGTGGCAGCTGGCTTAGTAGCACTGGAAAGCTTTGATCTTTTCTTAGCCAAACTCTCGCTACGGCGTTCCCTTTGCTCCTTCAGCCTGGAGGCAAGAAGTTTCTGGTACTCTGCTGCCTCTGATTTTGCTTTGGCAATTCTCTGTTTCTTATCAGAGATCCTTGCCCGCTTTCTTTGGAGTGTCAGGGGAGTGACCAGTCGTTGTATCTTTGGAGCTTTGCTAACCTTTTTCCCTGCAACAAACAAAACATATATTTCTCAGAATAGAAACCATCACAAATTATGCATCCACAAATCATGTCCAAAAATAATCTATTCAAATGGGTCCTCCATCCCTCAATTCAAACAAAAACATAAATATGCAAAACAAAGGTTTCACTATATTTTTTAGGTTATTCAAAAGAATCATGTAAAGAAAACACATTTTTATCAAAGTCCCGTTTTGCAACACCAACACACACAAAAGCTCTGTGAATGGATAATTGAAAATGGCTTAAATTCTCATGAGATGTGAAGAAAATATAAGTTATAAACAGGTTAAAACTTCACAGTAAATTTCATATACCACATTAGCTCTTTTGATGGAGTCATCTTCAAACAAATGAATTTGATAAATCTCAACTTAGAAGCAGAGACAAGAAAGATTGCAAATTATAATTGGGTTACACTTTAAACTATTTTTCATTACAAAACTCCATCTTTTCATCAGCCCCCTCTTCTTAAGGGCAGGACAAAGCTAAATAGAATATTTACATAGAGAAGAGACTTTACCAGCTTTGGTTGTAAATGTGCGGCGGTATGTGTTGACATACTTCCTCACATCATCCTCCTTAGACAGATTGAACAGCTTCCGGATTTTGGATGCTCTCTTTGGACCCCTCATCCTTGGCTTTTCTACGTCTGTCAGGCCTGGTAAATCATTGTCACCTTTCTTCACAATTACCAAGTTCAGAACAGAGAGGTCTGGGCTGACAATGCACCCGCGAACAGACTTCCTTCTACGCTCTCCATTGCGTCTTCCATGTCCGCGGAAACAAGGAGTTCCTGCTCAAGTAAACAATGAAAGGAAATTTAACAATAAGTTTGCTGACTCTTGCTATAAAGAGACAATAATACTCCAAAAAACAAATATATATACATATATGACTTTGCTGGAAAAAGATTCAGACAAAACAAGTTATTAAATAAAGAGGCAGGACACAGAATTATCATTCAAAAAATATTCAAGGCTAAATTTAAATGCAGAAGATGAGTTGATTGAATGCCATGCGCATTGTGCAGACCACAAAAAATTTACTCATGAATTCATAATCTCTCTATAATCAACCAAAAACAAAACGGCTTGAGGATAGTCTTACCTCTGTAGAGCAAGAGGCGAACACGGCCAGGGGTCAACACTCCCTGCTTCATCGGAAATCCTTGTTTGTCACAACCTCCAGTGATTTTGAAGACATAGCCCTTAAATTCCTGTTGGTAGCAGGATAATAAAGGGAAAAAGGTCAATCATCAATGTTCCTCAAAAAAATTCAGGAGACGCTTAACTAATGAAGGATTCCAGCTAAGGAACATACCTCACCCAAAGCATCACCAAGAACCTCTTGAGAGATCCTCTTGTCCCAAAATGCTCGACTGCAATTCAAAATAAAATATCATGACAGGAAAACTCGTCCCAAAACCAAATTAAAATCCAACAACACAAATTCCCATTCCTTATTACTCCATTCATACAAATGTAACGAGACATTGTAATTAAAAGTTCCATAGCCCAATAGCATCAAGGAACATAACTACTTGGATAAATTAGACTTAATAACATGTAAATCAAATTTACACTAATATCATATAGCTAATATTTTGTTCTAGAATATTGTTGGCATTTACACTACAAAAGGAAATAAATAAATAAATTTCCAACATCATCCATTTGTTTCTTCGTATGAACACAAGCAACGGAAACGAAAAATGGAAAATGAAAGTGGTGAAGAGATTACAGCTTCAGATCGTCATCGATCTCCAGCTTCTTCTGGCAACCGGTGGTGGGATTTGCAATGTTGAACTGCAAAACAAGTAGTGAATATTCAGTCACAAAACCAAGAAATCAAAGCACCGTAAAAATTTAGGGTTTCAGATGAAAACCTTCATCGTGAAATCTTGACTTAGATCTCTGTCTTCGCTTCTTAGCGGCTGAGCTCGAAGATAAAGAGAGGTTAGGGTTTCTGTTTCCCAAGCAAGCGGGGCGGGGACTTTGTTTTGCTCCTTAAAAACTTGGGCCCAACAAGCCCATATAAGTGAGTTTGAGTGACCGGTCTACTATATTTTTATTTTTCTCAAACTAAAGTTTGGATTGGATAATAATTTAGGGTTTGTTTTTTCTTATATTACTTGAAATAACTTTATTTAATGTTCATCAAAACGACGTCGTTTTGGGACGGAAATCATAGTATTTTTATAATTTTAATTTATTTCAGGGTTATAATAGTCTTTATTACTCTAATTTTTTAATTTTTCAACTCCAAAACGACGTCGTTTCGATGAACATTAGATAAAATTATCTAAAGTACCATCGGAAACTTTTTTCCAATAACTTATTATATTGGAGTTTGCATCCATCATGCAAGAGAAAGAGAGAATTTCCTATGGATACAACATTTTGTGAGGTTAACATTTTTTGAAGAAAAAAAAAAACTAAGTCACTAAAAATGAATTTGTATAATATAACAAATTCACTTTTTCTACAACATAACTTTTATTAAGTCTTATTATATTTGGGTAAATACTTTTCAATTTGCTTTCTTTTAAAAAATTGAGTTTTTTTTTAACTTTCACATTATAATGATTATTCAATAAAAGTTACATGTACTTTAGATATTTATTTGCTATATAACATGAGTCATTGTTTATTGTTTATTAATTGTAACTCTTTCTTTCTTTATTAAGTTTATCCTTTAGTTTCACCTTCACGTTTTCATAACATGAGTTATGTTTTTTTGGTTATTGTTTATTTGTTTATTGTTTCTTTTTTCTCACGTTATTAAGTTTATTTTTGATACACCCTTTGTATAGAACTTTTTTTTACTATAGGTTAACATATTACTTAATGAGTTTAATTATGTTAACAATTATATAAAATGTTAAATTCATAATAATGTGTTAACTTTCTTATTATATATTTAAAAAAAATAAAATTGTAATCTAAGAAGCTTTTGTTCGGTTTTTTTATCTTTTTACCTCTTATTAAATAAAAAATAATCACTTTGTCCCTGTTTCAAAATTATATCTAAATTTATTCCTCTTTAATCGATTAAAAAAAAACTTATTCGATTGTGTCAAAAAAAAAAAAAATTAATCGATTAAGAAACTTTTTTAATCGATCAAGCTCTGCTCTCAAGCTGATATGTCGTTAGTTTTGCAACTTTTTCAAGCTATATGGTACCTGTCCACTGAAGCTGTTCTCAGAAAGGTCTAAATACTCGAGCAAACTACAGTTACTCAACTCTGGAAGGAACTTTTCCTGAGAAACCATTACCCAACAAGACAAGGGTCTGCAAGTGATACAATTTTCCAATTTGTGGCCCAAGTTCACCAAAAATCCCATGATCAGTGAGGTTAAGGGAGACCACATGGTGGTCATGGTCGCATTGAACTCCTACCCATGAGCATGGAATGGAATCAGAGGCATTCCAGCTCGAGTTTATGATAGGAGGAATAAAGGTCCAGTGAGTCAAGAGTGACAATAGAGTCACCCCGTCAGAGACCATTGCAGAATCACCATGCAAAATGGCAGAGAAGGATAAAATCAACAACACGAGTGTGATAGTAGTACTCCTAGTTCTAGTCATTGAGACAGGGTAGTTGACAAAACAAGGTGACATAGAGGTAAGAGAGGTTGCAAAGGATCAAATAACCACTTACCTTGTCACAGATTGCAAGAAGAGAAACCAAGGGATTGGAATTGGAGCGAATGATTGAGACTTTTCTACTTTGGGATGGAAAAAATAGTTGGACTTATATTTAATGGAATACGCGTCCCCATTGGCGCGGATTTGCTTTCTTTCATATAATTCTCTACTACAATGGAATTAAAGCCACTATTTGATACTTTTCCAGGAAGAAAGAGATCACGGACCAATGAAATGAACCAAAAAGAACAAAAGGAAAAGGAATTGCAAAGGAATCAATAGCAGAAAATTGAGAGCAGAGCTTAATCGATTAAAAAAGTTTCTTAATCGATTAATATTTTTTTTTAAAACTTAATCGATTAAATTTCCTTTGTAATCGATTAAAGAGGAACAAGTTGAGATATAATTTTGGAACAGAGACAAAATGATTATTTTTTATTTAATAAAAAATAAAAAAGTCAAAAAGTCACTTTTGTACTGTTATTATTCTCATACGTGTAATATGAGTTGATCCCGTTGTACACATTTTAAATTGCTAGTACTATTCTAGAAACATTTTAAATAATGTAATGTGGCTTTTATACGCAATGTTAAAGTTATTATACATATCCTCACCAAAAAAAAAAAAAAAAGTTATACATATGAATGTTAAACTCTCATCTGTGTAATTTTGCTTATGAGAATGGGTTTTATCTTTATTTCAAGTAATATATATTTAAATGATATGAATCACCAATAAAAAAAATAAAAAATAAAGAATTAAATAAATTAATAAAATATAGAAATTACAAGAGTGAGTAGAGAGGATAAGGATAACTCTATAGGAACAAGAACAACAGTAAGTGCTAATAATACAACAAGAGGGAAGGAAAGAAGAGAACCCCTATCTATCCCTTCCTTGTAGGCTTCAATGGCTTCTTCTGCAACTCTCACTTCTTCACTTTCCTCTCTCTCAATTCTTCACAGTCACAGTCACAGTCACACCTCTTCCCGTTTCTCTCTCCTCCACGCTCCCAATCCCAAATTCACATTCTCTATCCTCACCCAACAACCACAATCATCATTACCATTGCTCACCACCACCAAAAAAGCAAAATCCTCCGATGAAATTGACACAAGCTTCTTCGACAACGTGAACCCTGAAGAAAACATTCCTTTCAATCCCCCAGAAGTCCCTGAAGACTTCGTTGCCCCTCCTTCCATCGACGAGGGTCCTTTGGAGACCGAAGACGAAATAGCCGCAGCGTACGAGGAGCTTTATGGTCCTGCGTACAGTGGCGTCAGTGTTCTGGGAAATGACATATACGTTATGGACGCAAAGGTGAGGAAAGAAACTGGGTTCGGTTCGAAATCCAAGAGGGAGAAGACGAGGGATGGTTTTGAAGAAAGGGTGGTTCAAGTGAGAAGGGTAACCAAGGTGGTCAAAGGAGGGAAACAGATGCGGTTCAGGGCGGTTGTGGTGGTTGGTGACAAGAATGGCCAAGTGGGTGTTGGTGTTGGCAAGGCCAAGGAGGTTGTAGGTGCTGTTCAGAAGTCTGCTGTCAATGCAAGGAGGAATATCATCAAAGTGCCTTTGACAAAGTACTCCACTTTCCCACATAGGTAATGTTTTTCATGTGCTTGTTGTTTACCTTTGGATAATGGAAATTGAATTAGTTCACATTTTTTGATTGGTGGTACTTCCCTGTGAATGTGAGTTTGTTCATCTTTAAGGTACACTTTAGTGATTACAGGAATAGGACTCTTCTGTTTTCGTACAAATGGATACTGGCTGAAACTGAATTTTGATGTTTGAAATGAGCATGTTGGTATACTAAAATATCTGTTTGCTTAATGTTATCGGTTTTGTTCTGCTTAAAGTCAGGGATTTAATTGGATTCTTGAAAAAAAAAAAGATAGTTAAATTTCTATTTAGTTTTAAGCTGTTTCTGCTTTTCCATTTGGTATTTCAGTCGGTCACACAAAGATACGGTGCTCAAGATTTGCTTGAATCTTGTAGAAGTTGTAAAACACAAACTCAATAACTGAGTGGCAGAAGTTCAATTCGGACAGGGATGCTTCTCATACCTTTTGCTTTTAAAACAAATCCTTGATTTTTTATGTTTTATCACCAAAGAAAAAAGAATGAAGAAAGAAATTTTCTTAGTTGCTTGCAATTGATACTTAATGATGCCTTTTGAAGTAAATATAGTTGGCAATCATTCATTCATTTGCATAGCGTCTGCTAATATATGGTGGATGGCCCTAGTTTAGGGTGATGGAGAAAACTTAGGAAACACATTTCAGATGCTTTTTGTCTAGTTACTGAAGCTTTGTAGGCCTAAGTTCAGTTAGGGAAAATCTCATTGATGGCAGTCCTATGAGAGCCACATACTTTATTGTCCCTTGACATTTGTGTGTAAGCTTAGATCATATATTGATAAGAACCGGATCAAATAACCAAATAACAGAAGCAAACAAGAGATATTTTGGCCCAGAAATTATCTGGATTTTCTGTATATTTGAACAAGAAAGGAAATTACAGAATGTAAATACAATAACAGTAAAAGACTCAATACGAAAAGCTAAGGTTCAGCACATTCGAGAGGTGCTGAGGCTCTCCCAAGTTTCCAATCCAATTCCGTCCTAATTCCCTTCAGCAGCTTCATTATTCCCACCTTATGCTAAGCCTAATCTTCTAGAATATTCTATTCTCCCTCCAAAAGTTAGTTATGCCACCTCATTGGTAGAACATAATTCCCTACTACCCACCTTACATACACTTACAAGAGTATATTTTTATTCCTATCATATTCATAATGCAGCCTCATATCTGAACTTAGTCTGGCAATCTATGCATACAGAAGTTATTGCAGAGTGGGACCAATTCAAAATTAAAAATTCATTTCACTGAGGCTTTGCTGACACTTGATTCTCAAAATATAATGATTACTTAGGACATTGAACACTGAGGTACACCTAAGTTCAAAGCTAATGCTTCATCAGCGTAATGGAAGATTTGGAACTATTAGATTATATCCCGTGTCTCAAAATGTAACGTCCATGCTTCACAATGTTGGAATTGTTTGTTTGACATGTCACTGTCTGATTAACTCTGATATTGAAGAGTTTTTATCCAAATTAATAACAATAGCAATGCTTGCCAATTTGCTATTTACTTCCAAAACTTTGAATGGCCCCTCCTAGAGCATTTGATATATTGAAGTGTACACTTTTACTTTTCATCTCTCCTCCCCCCAATAAATAAAGGGCCATGTCATAAATTGTTGCAGACAGATTGGTTGTCATTTGCAAAAGTGCATGGATGCAGTACTTGCTGTTGAAAGAGTAATGGGTTGAGTCCAATCCTTTGTAACCAAGGAATGACTAAGCATCTTATGGAGGTCAAATGAACTTAGAATTATGATCACAGGGTCAAGCAATAGTAGCTTGTATCCCTTCTGAATATAACGAGAAAAATGGTTTGTTTGATTGTGTTATATTTTTTTTTTGTTCTTAAATCTGTTCTGTAGAATAGTTAATGAAATATGTGTTTTATGTGTTTTTATATTTTGAAAGTCAAAAGTCAAAACACAAAACAAAAACAACTCAGATATGTTCTCTAAATTTGATTCTAAAAATTAAAAAACAGTTATAATTTTTAGAACTATTTTTACAAAACAGGCCTTATTAAACATGTTTTTTTTGTTTTGAAAATCAAAAAACTGTTTTTGAAAACATAATTCAAACAGGCCCTTTGTTCTGAAAGTTTCCTTACTCAAACAGGAATTCGAAAGTTGAGATCCTTCATGTTGAGATTTGAAAGTCAAAACCTTCATCTCAGCATATAGAAGCCTGTAAATGACTATGACATTAACTAATGTAGATTACTTGGCCTGATTTTCTTATAGGAGGCTGGCTGTTAGGAGAGGGTTCCTAACAGGGAGAGAAAACATGAAAATGAAAGAGAACTAATGAGTTTATTATTTTCTTCATGCCTTAACAATCAAGTGGACAGATGCCATTTACGTACAAGGGCTGGCTCACCCTTAGAGCTACTAACCATATCAGAGGTTACAACTACTAAACATATAACCTCCTACTAACTACTGCAACTGACTCTACTAACTGAACTGCTGTACCTGAACTCTTCTGGCATGGGCTTTCAAACAGTCTTCTGCTTTTTGCAAGTAACTAACTCCACCCATCCCTGCAAAAGCGACCTTGTCCTCAAGGTCCAAGAAATAATGAAAACCTGCAATCATCCATACCCTCATGGTAGAGGCAGATGATCATTTATGCAGGGGATCTGTTCCTGACAAAAAAAGAGAGAGTGAGCTCCATTACGTGTTTCATTTGATCTAAGAGGATACTGCTTCTATTTTTATCAAGGACCCCGAGATGGGAGCTAGTGAAGGCCTTGGCCTCATCCAGAATCTGTTCTCCTTCATAACAGAGAAATGATGCCTCAAATAGACTCAACATTCCTTGAAGCTCTCCAATATATCTGCTGAGTTATCTTAGCCATATTCTCTGAGAAGCCTGAAGCTTAAAGCCATCTCATGCAGGATTCTGTGAGTAGTTGTGCCACTTCTTTCTAAATAGTTAACCTATCAAGGGAATATCTCTTTGCCAAAGTTGTAGCTGAGACCCAACCGTTTTACATCATCAATAAGCTCTAGAGTGGCCCATATTTTTTCATCCTTGGTCATTCTCCTCACTTCCTCTTGTAGCTTTCTGGCTCTTTCATCATATATTACGTCTGCATAATTTTTTCAAGAATTTTTTGTTTTTTAATTGCTCTTTCATCAAATCTAAATCATCACCCAATTCTCTGAGTTCAACTTGAGCATACTTTTTAGCAAAGTGCAGCATCTTAGAAGCAATGAGGATCTGCACTGGAGTGGAGAATTCAATGGCATTATCTGAATAGTTTCTTGATTGTGACTGGGAATGACATGTGTGGGTGGCAAGTGGGATGGAGGCGTGGCTGTAAATGAGTTTATGGCAGAGAGATCATGTGAGAGAACTCATGCTCCATGCTGGTTGCACAACGTGAGCACCCATCTTGTCAGAGTTTGTGAAGGTTCTTGCTTTCTTTTGCGATATTGGACATGGCTCCTCTATTTCTTGTGACAAGGAAAATTGTCTTTGTCTCTTTCTCTTGCAATTGTTGAAGGATCGATTGAGTGGCCATTTTCTGGAGAAGGCCATCCATAGCAGCAACATGCTCGTACACCTGCTTCAACTGTGCGATGAGTGAGGAAAACTATTGGTTCTTGGCATGAAAATGCTGGTCCATTTTAAAACGAAAGGAAACAAGATCTTTCCCACTTTATCTAGCTCCTGCGACTGCATGATGGTGATGCTGTTTGAAATGAAAGCACCAATTGTTAAACGAGGAGGGTTTCTTATAGGGAGAGAAAACACGAAAATGAAAGAGAACTAATGAATTTATTATTTTCTCCATGCCTTAATAATACATGTGGACACCATTTATATTCAAGAGCTGGCTGGCCCTTGTAGCTACTAATCATATCAGAGAATCTTATCGACTACTAACCATCAAACCTAACTACTGCAACTGACTCTACTAACTGAACTGCGATACCCTGACTATTCTGGCATGCTGGCCTCCAACGGTCTCTTCGTGCTCTTTACACGCAACACTGGCATATTATTATTTGAGAAAATGATTTCTGCTTCTAAAACACAAAACATTGTCGGCCACGGAGACAAATTTTGTGCGCTCTGCGGCAGAGACAATGATTTCTGCTTTTGAAGTAGAAATCATTTTCCTTTATTATTTATAAGGAAAGTTTTTCAAATTATAAATTGTTATCATTCTAGATAGCCGCTACTAATTTTTTTATTTTATTTTATTTTTTCAGAGCCGACGGAGATTATGGAGCAGCCAAAGTGATGCTTAGACCTGCTTCTCCTGGTACTGGAGTTATTGCAGGTGGGGCTGTGAGAATTGTTCTAGAAATGGCAGGAGTTGAAAATGCTTTGGGAAAGCAACTAGGGAGTAATAATGCGCTCAACAATGCCCGAGCAACGGTTGTTGCAGTGCAGAAAATGAAGCAGTTCCGTGAGGTTGCACAGGAGCGTGGGATCCCAATGGAAGAACTATGGAAATGACGAAAATTCTGAAGCCTTTTTGTGAATTTTTTACATCGATCTTTGTGACGTAGAATTGAACTTGTCCATTTACCAAAAAAAAAAAAAAAAGAATTGAACTTGTCCCTCTCTTCAAAAAGTGAAAAAGTAGTTCGTTTTTGTTGGAATTTTTCTAGAAGGAAAATAATTTCTTCAGATTCAACTTGTATCCAAATTGAAGAGATTCCTAAACTGCTGCCTACTTTTATTTAACCATACTTTTGAGATCTGTCAATGATAAATGTGGTTTATATATGACACTCAAAGTCCTTTGGAAAAACTCCAGCTATTAGAGCAGCATACAAATGCAATAATGCAGTTTTATGAAATTTTCACTTTCCTCAAAAAACAAAGGAAAGCCGAAACATAGAAAATAGATTGAACGGATAAAATGTGATTGATAAGAGAATTTTTGTTCTTAAATTATTGTTCTAATTCCCTAGCTCGTTGTTGTAACTCTACGATCATGCAAATTATTGTTCTAATTCCCTAGCTCGTTGTTGTGACTCGTCGTTTTCTATATCATGTAGGTTTCTCTAACACGGCTATTCATTTTCGGTCTCTAAAGCTGTACCATGTCCCCTGCCATTGTGACTCCACCATCCACGACCACCACAAATCTATTCAACCATTAGCGAAAGCCAACTAAGCTCTATTCACAAATAAAAAGTAGACTAAATAGACGAATAAGGATTGATAAAAGTCTTGTTCTCGAAAAAGGATAATCAATAATAAGAAATTCAATAACCTACAATAGAAGTCATAAAAACCCTTCTATAGGGTGTTAATTAACCCCGAAACACCTACAAAATAAAAATGAAATTTTAAAGATAATTGATTCAATTCAATCAGCATTAAATACTCTTAAAAAAATAAAAGCTCCCATAAAAATAAAGATAGCTGATTATAAATCAATCAACATTAAAACGCATAAAATGAGGAAAAAAATTAAATGCAAAATTTTAATATTGTGACTGAAAATAAAATAGCCTAAAAATTTCAAAACAACGGATACACGCCGGGCCAATTTTAAATGCATCACAAAGTTAAACGAGTTTCTAACATTTGTACATCACATAAGGTCGGTCAGTCTGCAGCACTATGTAAAGTACATATAATTGTTGTACTTTTCTCTTCAAAATGGTATGTAATGATGAACCTTACCTATATAATACCTAATTAATCCCAAAAAATGTAGCAGAAATGGAAATCCTGTCATACAGAAGCCCCCGAAAATTTTAACCTTTACACAGAAAATTGCTCTCAAATCCTCATTTCCATAGTTTCACGCAATGATCATGGCTAGCAGAGGCAATCAATCCATATTCGGGTGAATCTGCCAGTCCAGCAATTAATCCCTTGTGTGCTGGAACGGCCCATGTTTTACTGCTCTCCGTTGGACTCCATAATTCCAGGGACTGCAATAAATTGTAGACAAATTTGTTTCATTAGAAGGTATTGAGTTTCTACTTATGCGAAAGAGTTTTTTAACAAAACAGGCATGGAAATTATCCTATGCGTAAATGATTATTCAGTTTTAAAGGAATCCAATTATCAAAACAAGAGACTTAAAAACTATCCTATGCATAATAAATGTAATAATTCAGGAAGTTAGTGCTCATATACAAGGTGTAGGTAGTCTCTTAACCAAAATAAATAAATGAATAAAAGAATTCATAAAGAAAAAGGTGCATCAGCTTTTAACTTTATTAGGAATATACAGAAAGGTACTGGCCAAACTATTAATCACACACTGTATGAAATTTACCTGATAGCCACCAATAATTAAGAGGTTAAGATATCCCGGATGAAATAGGCAGGATTGAAACTTGTTGCCGTTTGAATGCAATTCACTGATGCATTTTCCGTCTGAAGCAACAGACCAGACACGTGCACTATCTTCACTGACGGAGGCAATATAGCTTCCACTTCTATCCCAACAAATGGAAATAACATCTTTAACATGTCCCTAGAAGGAAATGAAATTCAGTCATGATATATTGCAAAACCCAAATTTCAACCGATGAAGTGAAGGTAGGAGTCATGAAACACTAAAGGCATGAGTTAACCTAAGAAGCTTACCTCTAGATAGTATAGAAGCTGATCAGTCTCAACATCAACTATTTTAATATTATTTCCTGTAGCAGTAGCCAAAAACTTCCCAATACGAGGCTGGAATCTGACTTGTTTACTACCTCCCTGCAATAAATTATTTATAGGTGTAAAAACATATGGACGAGTACATCAGAATGTTATAATAAATGTACGCAGTCCAGCTGCAGCCCTTTTTTTACATTGCAAACACACGAAGCTAGTGATTACTGCTATGAAAACAGTAAACATTGTCAAGTGTGAAGAATCAAAATATTTATTATGAAAATAATTCACATAGACAAATAACAACACCATGACTTAGCACTGATCATGACAATTGAACATATTGTCAAATACTATCTTTCCAAAAGCAAAAGGTGTGTATAAAACTGACCTTAGTGATATGCATGCAAACACATTGATTGACATTCCACAGTCGAATTACATCATTGCTATCGCACGAGCAAAGAAGGTCTACCTGTCTCGGGTGGAAGTCCAATGACATTACTTGTTCGGCGTGTCCAGTAAATTTGAGCAATGATCTGGTTGGCTATATCATTAAACAAAAAACACAAATTAAATGGTAAAATAATAAATTGGCCTCAAATACAAAGGAAGGAGCAAGTGAAAGAAATATGAAAATGAATGCAGGAGAGTCGAAAGAGTAAAAGTGAGTAGAGGGGAGGATGGAGATGATCCATAGTCTAAACAATATTGAAGTTATGAAATATACATGAAGGCAACTAAGCAAAAATGAATGTGAGAAGTAGCAGCTTACTCTGGCTGCATCCCATAGTTTTACAGATCGATCAAAGGAAGATGTTGCAAATATAGTTGAATCTGGTCTAAACCGAACATCTGTAACGAGATGTGAATGTGCTTCTGGAGTAGCAACACAATCTAAAGTTTCCATGTTCCAAATGAAAACCTGTTATTGTAAACTACAATTAAGTTCTGAACACAAGGAAAACACCTAGGCAAAAATTCAGAATAGATAAATAAACTAAACTCAATTCTGAAAAGTTGATCATATCGAATCACCTTCTTCTCATGTCCAGCACTTGCCAAAACTTTTCCATCCGACGAAAAATGGCTGGACAAAACCTTGCTTTTGCTTGAGTGAAGGCAACCAACCTCTTCGAATGAAAAACCTATCCAAATGGTAGAAGATCCTTGTGATAGAAATTAAAATAGACGTTTAATAAATATTATTGCCAAAGTTACATTTTCACCATATTGAATTAATTATATTTTACTTAATTTTATTTCAATTTCGTTACTGAGGTTGCATCTCTATCTAGTTAATTTCCATCAATATTTATGTTATAGTGCAATCATATAATCACAGCATCTCAGAGTAGTGAAACCTAAGATACTAACAAGATGCGGCAAAAATGTTTAAGACAACCTCTCCATAAAGTTCAAGTACTGTTACTGACTTATTAAATTATGGATCCACCACATTGTTGTATATTGTCACTTATGAGCCCAAGATATTGGTATTGCTTATATAAATCTTTTATAAGATTATATTTCCTTCACAAATTATCACTTTCTAAATCTTTTCGAGGGATTTGGAGCCAACATGTAGAAATTTATCATCAAATAAGTACTGGATGAAAGAAATGAGTTTCACCAACTTTTTCTTTCCCCCACAGTTTCTTTGTCAAGTATATATATTGTCAAGAAAAAGATATAGGGTTCACTGAAATATCTAGCACATTAGTTTTAATAACGCCAACCTCTACTTATATGCACTCACTAAGAGGCTTAAAAATGAAAAACGGAAAAAGAAAAGAGGATCATAATAGAGAATATGTGTGAAAGAACTTGAGATGATTACTAGATGTATGGACGAACACAGAATTTGCATATGCAACTTGCAGGTTCATGGTATATTAGAAATAAAGTTCATATCACCAAACTAACAAATTTATGATATATGATTTCAACCCTGCATAAAGGATTTTGGTGCTCTAAATACATAAATTCCTCCGGAACTATACCACGAGATTTACTACTAGAAAAATCTAAAATAATACCAAGCTAAAAAAAATTGCTCTGGCCTCACATCACTATCTGCCGTGTCTATACCATAGATCACTCCTAAATTATGATCAATACGATCAACTGGTTCAATGCATAGATCACTATCTCCCTATTCCGCAGCCATGGATATATTACCTTTCTTTTCATTTCTACCGTATGTAGCTGAAATACGTTTCAGATTGCTGAAAGGCACAATCCTATGATCAGCATGTTCATTTTCCAAAGACAGGAAAGACTCCACATTTTCATCCACAGGTTTTCCATCTGCTGCATCCACACAGTCCTATTGTTTGTACCATGGAATGGAAAGAACAAAAATTAGAAGATAGGAGTCCAATTGACAAAACGAAAAATTGAATTAACAAACAATGGTATGGTTTAAACAAAGCCGTTGTGGGTAGGAATGAAAAGATTTCTAGGATTTTCTTTGAAGGTTTTCGACAGCCTACCAGGGCACTTTCTCCAGTTCTTACGAACGCTGTTGTCTTTCTCTTTTTGCTCTTCTGATTGAGAATAGGTACAAATATATTTCAGATATATACGCACAATAATCATTTTCTGTCACCAATAAGGTAAAGTCCAATAATTTAGAATTTTAAAAAATTGAACAACATACCTCAACATTCTGGGACAGCATCTGCATTTGCTGATCCTGCTGATATTGATGTTCTACAGTTCTGATCAATTGGTCTGTCATCTGTGTCATCGTGTAATTAGTTTATGAAGGAAAAATAGATTCATATGAAATATTTTAGATAATTTAACAATCAGTCTGTATATTTCAGACTTGATGGGATGAAAATTTTCATTGGTAGCTTCAATTGATAATGATAAACAAAAGCTTCTTCTAAGAAGAGGGAAATGAAATCATTATACACTCATCATGTCAAATACAAAGGATCTTCACGAAAACCATAATGTCCAAAGTAAAGACCATTACACAATTGCACTGATCCTTTTATTCTTCCCTTTTTGATTTTCGTGCCTTAAATTATTCTCACATGTAGTGAAGAAATAACAGACTTGCAGTCATCTTCATCTACTTAATTTGCTTTCGTATCCTGGAAGCATACTTGGTTTTGATTAATACTCTTTAAAGTGACTCACAGAAGCCTTACATTCAACCATCTTTCACTGAGAAATCGTATTGTCTTCTCTTTTTCTTTGTTAATTCATCAAGTTGACTTATCCTTGTGTTTAAACTTTTGAACCCTATGAGTTCAAAATTGACAACTACTCTTTGCTATAAAAAATAAAAGATTGTGAACTATGCTCTCCGTGCATGATACTTCATTTTGTTCCACGATTTACCCCTATTGATATCATAATTTAATGTTCTTTGAAATCCAAATAAGAACAATTTGTGTTCGGGTCGGGAATATCTAAAGATGGGACATGAATGCACAAACCTGCCTATCTTCATTACTTGATTCAATGATGGGAATCTTCGGATATTGACTGTTAAATTTGGTAGAGTTTCCAGAAAGTGTGAAAGTCTGACTTTTAGTAGTACATGGAAGAGCAAGGACTGCGTCCTGTCTTGGTGTTTTCAACACTTGATACCGCTTTCGATAGTCTGGTGTTTGCAAAAGTGAAGTTAGTACCTGATTCTGCGGACCCAGGAGATCTTGGTTAATTTCCAGTTAATAATGTGATAATATCAACACGAACTTTCATATACATTACAATGGAAATCTACAGAAAATTTGAAGACATATGGAATATTTTGTTCAAAAGATTCCACAATCATATTTCATCACCTACTTTTACTGGCCATCCATTTAGTGGCGCTAGATTGAGTGCTTCGTTGGTTTCTGCAAAGAAAACTCACCATTAAGATCTCAAAACAGAAGAATATAACATGCGCCAATCAGCTTTGGGTGGAAATTCTTTTCATATAAATTTTATTGTGAATTTTATTTTTTACAGATATCTATATGAGGAACAGGATATTTAAGCATCGAATTTAGAGAGTTAGTACATCGTTTTCCCCAGCATTCTACAAGAAAACTGATTGTTGGATCAAAGGAAATACAAGACTATGTGCGCGTGTGTAACATAATAACCTTATGGCACCATCTTCATTGTTACACATTTGATTAAGAAAAAGCTGGATCACAGAAAAACACTCCAAAGTGAACTTCATAGAATCAACATAAAAGTGGAGGCAATGACTTCTCTGTAAATAGCAGAGTGTCTCTTTAAGAGATCATCAAACTAAGAATGAGGCACAAAGTGGGATGCTATATTTGTATCTTTTTAAACAAAATAAGAATAACGAAGAGTCAGAGACAAAGCGCATACAGTTAGTTTCATATTACATCAAAATGCTAAGCCCAGCACAATTGAAAAACTAGAAAAAGAAGAAACTTGAGTATAATAAACAGCATGAGTGCAAGACATTTCAAATTCCAGAATAAAGGGGGAGAATGCAAGAAACAGGTTCAAGACAAACTTGTTTCATGAGGTCCATCTAAAGGCGGCAGTGTTCTTGGTACTACATCCAGAGGGTTCGTAGGTGCATCCCTCCTTACACGCATGCCAATTCCACGATCCTGAAAATACAAATAAAATAAATCTGTTTTGCGATGCACTAAGTTTGAGATTCTCATTCTTATATGGTTGTGAGCTGGACCAAACCTTAAAGACTTGCTTCTGGTCCGGCATGCCTACTTCTTGCGGTGGATAACTGACAAAATAAAGAGAACATTAGAAAGAATTATCTACAGAGAAACAGTGATGGGTGTTTCATCACTACATAAAACGAATTTAAGAGTAACAAAAATCAAGAATGTACCCCCTTCAATATAACAGAATTTTTTTTATCAGAGCTGCTTACATTTTGAATTTGTATATATAAGTGAAACAAGGCAGTATGAGTGTGAAGGATGAAGTTTCACAGCTGTAGTGTTACTATAGATCAAAAGAACCATATGTGAACTATTTCGTGTCATAGTGAAAGGTGATATAGCAAACTCGCTTATGGGTTCGAGATGCATAAGGAACTACATGAGTGTAAAAGCAATACTCACGACAAGATGCAGATTAAAATTAAAAAACACATATGCACATTACTTTGAACTAGTCGCTGACCAGAACTTCAGGTTATTTTCTTTGATAAGATCCCAACTTTCAACATTTTCTGCCAGATATCGAAGATGCTGTTTATCGGACACTGTTGAAGGTATTAAACAAGCAGCTGGTTGTGCCATCATGTTGTCAACGCTGAAGCTGACTTGAAATTGTTGAGGTCTCTGCTCCCTCATTTGTGTTAGAGGGGTTCTAGGAGGGGTACTATTCCTTGCGTTGTCTTCAATCTTTGGGACCTGAAAATTGACAAATGTTCGACGCATGACAATAATGAAACTCGGGACAATACAAAATAAGACCACATTAATTTACCATTTAGTTACCACCTTACTAGAGGATTCTGGCCCAATCTCCTGATCATTCCTTTGCCTAGAGGTAAATACCGCATAGAAAATAGACCACCATTCATGCAGGAACCCATCTGGAGAATGAAGCACTGAACCCAAAAATTTCATGTCTGTGATCAATCAATTTCCAGCAAGATTTAGAACACTAACTGATCAGCTAAGTCAATCAAGTTCCAGCATCAAGATTTAGAATATTAACTGAACTTAATTACATGAATGCTAAGTTCATTATGAAATGAAGTATGTAACATTCCCAGGGCAAGTCCATCAACCACCGGAATGTGTAGATACCATCATACCACCCCCTTCATAACACAACCATACAAGTTTTTTTTTTTTTTTACATTTATTTTTGTTAGTACTAATAAGTGTTGCATCAAACGACTTAACAATGAAGATCACCAAGAATCAAACTCAAAAGAACTAGCTAGTCGATGCAGTTTGAATATACCAATTGAGTGAACCCTATAGATAGGAAGCTTATTTTTAATCCAAATGAATAAGTAGTATAAAATGATGGCCATCATCTAAACTAGTTTCCGACGATTTTAATTACTATAACAAATAAATAAAATAAAATTGAAAGAGAAAAACTTTCTAAGTATGTGTGTATGATAATAGGAGTAAAGGAGATTCAAAATGACATATATATACCACCGATATTGTTAGGAAGTTGGGCTTCATTTTTGAAAATCTCAGCAACCTCGTGCATTCCCCTTTTGATCATATAATCATGTATATATAATCGAAGCCTATACAAAACCCAAAATCAAAATTAATCAATAAAACAAATATACACATAAAAAGAAGATCAGTGAAGAAAGAAGAAGAAGAAATAAAAGATTGAACCCACATTTTATCAGGGTCCCAATCCCCATGATCGTTAGAAGTTGAGGTCATGATGATCGATCGTCAATCGCCTAAGATAACCAACCTCTACAGTACTTTGGGGTTCAGTTCGGTTCCAGTACAACAGAAGAGGGAACAAATTAAGATGAAGAGAGAGAGAGAGAGAGAGGAGAGAGAGGAGAGAGTTGAGTTAGAGTTATCTAGAGAGAGAGAGGGGAAAGGAAATTGAGTTTGAGTTGAAACGGAAAGAAACGGAAGAACGAATGAAAAAAAGAGAAGAGAAGAGAAGGAGAGTGTGCTAAGCGGCAAGTGATAGTGCCATGCAAATGAAAAAGGAACAAAGCGAACAAAATTCAGTTTTAAGGGATGGGTTTTGACAGCGTGTGATTGTGACCATGAGGCGTTATTATATACCAAATAAGGGTTATATACTTCTTCTTCTGTCATCTTCTGTCACTGCAAAATGAGAAAAGTGCAGTAACATTTATTTTCACCAGGATACGCGTTCGGATACTGATGTTTTCTTTAGGCCAGGATACGACTCTGTATCCTAATGTTAATAATTTGCTGCAACTTTTCTCATCAACAGCGAAAGGAGAAGCGACGAACCCTACCAAATAAAGTGTGCGTCTCACTCCTTACTCCCTCCCACACCATGGGTGACTGGGGCTGAGTTGTGTGTTTGGATTAGATTTGCCTGCTTTTTTTGGTAGAATAGATAGTCTGTTTGGATGAGCTTTTAAAAAAATAATTTTTTATATGTATTGTTTTTTTTTTAAAATAATTTTTTTTAAAAGATAAAATTATTTTACTTTTGGATATATGATCTGAAAATTATTTTTACTTAAAAAAATTATTTGGATGTTAAAATAAAAAAACATTATATATATATATATATAATTACAATAAAAGAGAAATAAAATAACATGATCGTGGGATAAAGAAAAGATAAAAAAGATATGATAGGACGAGGTTAAATTTGTATTTTAAAAAATTATATTTTTTTCCCAAAAAAAAATTATATTATCTTTTAATTTCTGTTTTTTTTCAAAAGCAACTAACTACTGGCTAAAAAAACAACATTTTAACTTTTATTTTAAATTTTGCTTTTTTAAAAAGTTGTTATTCAAATATCTAAAAATTCTCAAAAGGATTTTTATTTTTAAAAAAAAAACTTTTTTAGGAATAAAAGCCCATCCAAACGGGCACATATTTTACTAGTGCATTACCCTGCGAGATGTAGGAGGAAAAGATCAAAAAATTTATCGACCACCGTTGTTGGTTAATCTTTAAAAATAGTCTTAAGCTGGACAAGTCCGAAGGATAAGGAGACAAAAAAAATTTTTGCAGAAAAATAACAGCATGCACATGTTGTGTGAAGGCGCATGAATGTGAAATAGTGTGGAAGTACACACTCATAACTAGACCCACTAATGATTTGCACATTGTTTGTCTTTCCACTCTCACGATTTTACGTGGTTATGGAATACATATTTCTTGGTCAAAAATGAAAAAATTTGAGATATGTGTGAAAATAAATATAAAGATAAGAATAGTGTAAAATTGTTACTTTTTACTATATTTGATAAAAAGAGTATCGAATACTCTGGTCCATACACATCATTGTTTTCTCACAGTAATATATTTTCTATAAATAAAACAATTTTCCTTTCCTTCAAGATGCAAAATATTAAATTTTGTGAAAAAAATACTTTAACAGTCTTCTTATTTATGTAAAAACATTAAATTGTGAAAGATTAAAAGGTTAAGTTTTAAAATTCTAAAAAATATTGAATAAATTTTTCAATTTTCATTTATATTTTTATATAGCAAGCTGATTTCTTTAAAATGAATTTAACATTTTCGTACAAAGTTGTCTAACTCTATGAAAAATTTCAAAGATAAACAAACTTCGTCATTCTAAAATTAAAGCAAGTTAGTGGTGTTCATAAAAACTTATAATAATATGGTTACTAAAATGAATTATTAGTAACAAAAATAGACTCAAACATTTCAACCAAAGTACTTTCAGCTTTACCAACTAAACCAAATACCACAGTAAAGAATTAATATTTTCAATATTATTCAATCTCAAATAAATAAGATTTTCTTAGTGCTAAAATTAATGAACATTTAATTTTAAAATATCTTAAATTAACTTTATTACATTATGTTTTTTTTCCTTGTCCTTCTTTTCGTTTTATATATGGAAAGGGGCTGGGAGATTTTGTTTTTACGTAACTAATATAATTAGAGAAAAAAATTGCAATAATATATCAAAATTTGTTATAAATAATATAACTGTTTGGATGTAATAACCTCCAAAGATATTATTCCGACTTATAACTCCTGAAAAATAATCAAGTCTTATCATTTATTCATCTGTAACTTACAACATATTCAAAACTTATAAATCAATTTAATTTAAGTAAGGAAATCTTCTTGTTTCTTTTCTATTTTTCTTTGAGCATGAGTATGAAAGATGAAGAAGTTTCACAGCTGTAGTGTCACCATAAATCAAAAGAACCTTATTGAATTATTTCGTGTCATAGTGAAAGGTGATATTGCAAACTCGCTTATGGGTTCGAGATGCATAAGGATCTACATGAGTGTGAAAGCAATACTCACGACAAAGATCGATGCAGATTAAAATAACATAACATATTTGTACATTACTTTAAACAATTAAACTAGTCCCTACTTTAAACAATTAAACTAGTCCCTGACCAGAACTTCAGGTTATTTTCTTTAATAAAATCATCCAAACTTTCAACATTTTCTGTTCAGGTTATTTTCTCTATTTGATAAGATCATCCAAACTTTCAACATTTTCTGCCAGATATAGAAGATGCTGTTTATCAGACACTGTTGAAGGTATTAAACAAGCAGCTGGTTGTGCCATCATTTTGTCAACGCTGATGCTGACGCTGAGTATAAAATTGTTGAGGTCTCTGCTGACTCATTGGTGTTTGAAGGGGTCTAGGAGGGATACTATTCCTTGCATTATCTACAATCATTGGGACCTGAAAATTTACAAATATTCGACGCATTACAATAATGAAACTCGGGACAAATACAAAAATAAGACCACATTAATTTATCATTTAGCTAGTTTCCACCTTAGTAGAGGATTCTGGCCCAATCTCCTGATCCTTCCTTTGCCTAGAGGTAAATACCGCATAGAAAACAGACCACCATTCATGCAGGAACCCTTCTGGAGATTCATACACTGAACACAAAAATTTCACGTTTGTGATCAATGAATATCCAGCAAGATTTAGAACACTAACTTATCAGCTAATTAAGTCCATCAATTAATATAAGTCAATCAAGTTCCAGCATCAAGATTTAGAATATTAACTAAACTGAATTACATGAATGCTAATTTCATTACACAATGAATTATATAACATTCCCAGGGCATGCCCATCAACCACTTGAATGTGTAGATACCACCACATTCATAGCATAACCATACAAGCTTCTTCTTTTTTATTAACTTTTACATTTATTTTTGTTAATATTAATAAATGGTGCATCAAACGACTTAACAATAAAGATCACCAAGAATCAAACTCAAAGATCTAGTCCTTGCAGTTTGAATATACCAATTGAGTGAACCCTATATACAGTCTTATCCACCCCCTACACAGAGGCGGACTTAGTTGGTCACCTATGTGGGCACTTGCGGACATGAATTTCTGATTTTTTTTTTTTTTTAAGTATAGTAGTCAAATATGATGTTGGTTAGATTAAGTTTTGATTGGATATATAACGAGGGATGAAATGAAAATGAACAGAATAAAGTGGAATGAAATGGGATGACATATATTTTATTGGATATTTTATGATGCTATACAACAAATCAGTTTGATTAAAAAAGAAAAGGTGTTGGGAATAATTTTTTATTTTAAGTTGAAGTTTTTTTTTTCTTATTTATATTTTTTGTTTTTTAAATGCATTTGAAATTTTCTTTAAAAAATTTTTTTTGGATGCGCTGCCCCCAACCCCGTCACTAAATGTGCGGACATAAAAATTATTTTCTGGATCCGCTACAGTCCCTACATATTATTTTTCGGATCCAAATAGTGACTTTTCCAATGCTTCTCCCTCATATTTTTCATCCAAATGAATAAGTAGAATAAAATGATGACCGTCTAAACTAGTTTCAACAATTTTAATATAACAAATAAATAAAAAAAAATTGAAAGAGCAAAACTTTCTACGTATGTGTGTCTGATATGAGTAATAAAGAAGTAGATTCAAAATGAGATACATACGATCGACGTTGTTAGGAAGTTGGGCTTCATTCTTGAAAATCTCAGCGGCACCATGCATTCCCCTTTTGATCATATAATCATGTATATATAATCGAAGCCTATACAAAGCCCAAAATCAAGATTAAGCAATAAAACGAATATACACATAAAAAGAAGATCAGTGAAAAAAGAAGAAGAAAGAAAGATTGGGCCTACATTTGATCAGGGTTCCAGTCCCCGGTATTACTTGAGGTCATGATGATGGATAGTCAATCGCCTAAAATAACCTCTATAGTACTTTCGGGTTCGGTATAATAGAAGAAGGAATAAAAATTGAAAAAAGAAAGAAAAAAAAAACAGAAGAAGAAGAGAGATGAGTTAGAGTTATCTAGAGAGAGAAAGGAGAAAGGAAATTGAGTTAGGGTTGAAACAGAAGGAAACCAATTTATTTTAAAATTAGATGAGAAAATAATTTGATCATATTTAATGCTTGGGTGTCACAATATCCTATCTCAAAAGTTGGGTGTCACAATATCCTATCATAACTTGGGTGTCACAATATCCTATCCCAAAAGTAATAGGGATAGGATATTGTGACACCCAAGTTATGTTACACCCATGTGACACCCAGTCAATCTCACCGTTAGATCGCTTATGTTGATCCAACGGTTATATTTATTTTCATCTTTGTATGGTTATGATTTCTCAAATTTAAAGTGAAAGCATTAAATATGGGAAATCATAACCATACAAAGATGGAAATAAATATAAAATATTAAATTTGGAAAATCA